TAATAATAATAATAATAATAATAATAATAATAATAATAATAATAATAGATCGTCGATATTGCCCTACCTGGTGACAGCAGAATCGATGAGAAACAACTTGAAAAACTCGCCAGATATCAGGACTTGAGAATCGAACTGCAGAGACTCTGGCATAAACCAGTGCAGGTGGTTCCAGTGGTAATCGGCACACTGGGTGCTGTGCCTAAAGACCTAAGCAAGCACTTAAAAACAACTGGTGCTGACAAGATCACTATTGGTCAGCTGCAGAAGGCCACTTTACTGGGATCTGCTTGCATAATCCGCTGATACATCACACAATCCTAAACACTTGGGAAGTGTTCAACTAGTGATTTGTGATGGTTATCTTGTTTGCTGTGTATACTGTCATTTTTGTGTAGTATAACAACAATAACAACAACAACAACAATAATGATAATGATAATAATAATAATAATAATAATAATAATAATAATAATAATAATAATAATAAGCACTGGCCTACTAGGAAACTCTTTTAATACAAATATTGTCTTTCCCTTTCAGTGCTCTTCCCTAGCAAACTTTTTTTTTTAATGCAACAGGGCTCAGAAATTAAAAGAAGTTAGTGCTTACAAACAGGATACTGTAATCCTCTGGGGGTCTCTGCAAATCTTTCCAATCTTGATAAGCAGAGATTAGAGCACCAAGAGAATTCAAAGCAACCCACTCACGCATGGGAAGATATTTCTGACAGGCCTTTTGAACTTTTTGGGGAGTGGGGTGTACTAGTTATGGACTCCCCCTAAATTGAGTGAGATTTATTTTCAAAGGAATGGATTTCTGCTTCTGTTTATATTGGTTTATAATGTGTTATTCTCTTCACCTTTAAGCCAGGAGGCCGGCATGCTTAGAATGTGTTCTGAGCTGTACTGGCCCCTGATCACTTCTAGAGAGAATTGTAGAAGGTTTTCTGATTGGGTGGTTAATTTTCCTGGCTTTGTCACGTTGCTTTGCAACCTGGCACAATTCCTGAGGCATCTTTAAAACCAAAGAACTCTGGGAATTGTAGTTCCATGGTGATGGAATACGATCTCATGAGCTCATTCTTTCACTGCATATTAATGTCTAATTGTAGCTCCGTTGTAAGAAACCATATTTTTGTGTATCTGCATTTTTTTTCATATTTACATCTTTGTATTCTCTTTTTTGTCCTCCACAATTGTTGGATTATGGAATTGTTCTTGAGTGGGAAAGTATCTATACAGGTAACCCTCAAGTTATGACCACAGTTGAGCCCCAAATTTATGTTGCTAAGTGAAAGATTTGTTAAGTGAAAATTAGATTAACAGAGTTAGAAGGGACCTTATAGGTCATCTAATCCAACCCCCCACCCAAGCGGGAGACCCTACACCATTTCTGACAGATGGCAGTCCAGCCTCTTCTTGAAGGTCTCAAGTGATGGCGCTCCCACAACTTCCGAGGGCAAGCTGTTCCATTGGTTGATTGTTCTCACTGTCAGAAAGTTTCTCCTTATTTCCAGGTTGAATCTCTCCTTGTTCAGTTTCCATCCATTATTCCTTGTCTGGCCTTTGGATGCTTTAAAAAATAGCTTGACCCCTTCCTCCCTATGGCAGCCCCTCAAATATTGGAAGACTGCTATCCTGTCTCCCCTGGTCCTTCTCTTTACTAGATTAGCCAAGCCCAGTTCCTGCAAGAAAAGTCCGTATGACTTTTCTTGTCACAGTTGTTAAGTGAATCATTGCAGTTATTAAGTTAGTCACCTGGTTGTTAAGTGCATCCGGCTTCCCCATTGACTTTGCTTGTCAGAAGGCCTCAAAAGTTGATCACGTGACCCCAGGACACTGCAATCACTCCTATATATTTTCTTTTATGTACACTAAGAGCATAGGCACCAAAGACAAATTCCTTGTCTGTCCAATCACACTTGGCCAATAAAGAATTCTATTCTACTCTACTCTACTCTACTCTACTCTACTCTACTCTACTCTACTC